GGTTGACGCTGCGCGTCGAGCTGCAAAAGTTCAGATTTCGCGATTTGGACGATTTGGACGATCTGAGCGTTCGACGCTCAGATCGTCCAAATCGTTCAAATCGCGCTGCTCTAATCGCGCTTGAGGCGCCGCAGAACTTCCCGACGTTGCTTGAAGCGCGTCCACCATAGACTTTGTATGTAAACCTGCTGCTCCTGACGCTGAAATCGCGTTTGGTGTGAACGCACCATTAGTCGACACCACGAGTGAGAGGTACTTCCTGGTGTGTGAAGGGTCACACTGTTGTGCTGTTTTGCCAACTAATGACCAGTGTTAATACAACACTTAAAGACATGATTTTAACTCTAGGATAGAGTGCAGAACTCTGTGTACTCTGACTCACACTGTGTAAAAAGGAAAACAAAAAGTAATTATAGTATTACACAAGAAAGTCTACTTTTTAGAGAAAGTTTAGTGTAAAATTTAATCCATAAAAAATAACAATTTTACTCTGTAGAAGGGGTCACCGCACTTTTCGAGACTAGAAGCTAATTCAGGGGTACCGAGTAACAAGAAGGGCTACTTGATACAAACATAAATTTGCACAGCTCATCTTTAATTATAGTATAGAATGTTACCGAGCTATAGTGTTGAATAATTTTACTCGATTCATTGTTGATTTTGACTCTAAAATGAGTCAAATTAACTCTGAAAGGTTGACACTGGCTATTGAGTACATTTTACACTAATTTTAAGTTGGACCAAATATTATATGAAACAAAGTTAAAGGGCCAGTATTATGTGTTTCTCAGGCATATATTTAAATACTATACCATTATAAAGTATCTATGTCACCTTTAGTTGTTATTAAAATGCTGTTTTATGTTTAAATAGACAATAAACTTATCTTCTCATCACTTCCTCTTCTAAACGCCTTGAAATTGGCCTCTGTCTCTTTAAGAACCTCCTTCTGCTTCTGTCCCGTCCCGTCACCGTCACCCGTCGGCCGGGGGGGGGAGGGGGGTCGCGCACGGGGATGGGTTGTTTCGCGCGTGTGCTATGATGCAGTTCACTTGGCATCTGAAAATACTTTTCCTCAAAGGTATTTTCAATCTGGAAAGAGCTTCACTCAGTGAAAAGTGGTGGATCTCAGCAGACAGCTTAAGTTTCACTTTCATTTTTGTTCTGTTACTGCCGAGAGCCTGCAGGAGTCATGGGCGGTGTGTGTGGGGTGGGGAGATGTGCTCCGTGATGAGGAAGTTTGGCTTAAAGACACGTCCCAGGGGCGTTTTTGGTACCAAAAGGTGTTTCTTGCCCCACCTGTCGTTTTGCTCCTCAGCATGGCTTCATAAAAACACTGCAGGATTTCTCAAACATGCATGAATGAGTCAAAGCAAGGCTTTGGGCATGTTTTTTATGAGAGTATAACATTATAAGATATAAAACTCAAAAAAGTTGATTTTACATGATAAAGCCCCTTTAAATTCAACTCTGTATGTGTTAAAATTACACTTTGTTTTTTACTGTGCTCCTCTGGTTGTAAAGGATTACAGCTCTACTCTGAGTTTCTCCTGGAGAAGTGAACATCTCACCCTCTCTCCAGCGGCAGAGAAAACTCATTTAAATGTCTTGCCTTCACGATTTTGTTCTTTCGGTCACTACCCAAAGTTTGTGGCCATAGTTGAGGGTAGAAACATGGACTGAGGGTAAACAGAGAGTTTTACTGCTCAGCTCCCTCTGAACCACAACGGACTGGTACAGAGTCCAACTACAGAAGCTGCATTGATCCATCKTTCAATCTCATTTTTCCCTCGCTGTGAACAAAACTCCGAGATACTTGAACTCCTCCACTTGAGGCAGAACCTCACCCCCAACCTGGAGAGAGCTATCCACCMTTTTTCCSACTGAGGACCATGGTCTCAGATGTGAAGGTGCTGATCCTCATCCCAGCTGTGAACCGCTCCAGTGAGAGATGAAAATCACGGTGCGATGATACCAACAGAACGACATCATCTGCAAACAGCAGAGATGGACTCCTTAGGCCACCTAATCAAACTTCCTGTTTTTGAAAATTGTAAGAGTTATACATGGACTGATTTGTTGGTACCCCTTGTTTAATGAAGGAAAAACCCACAATGGTCACAGAAATAACTTTGAATCTGACAAAAGTAATAACAACTAAAAATTCTAAAATAATGAACAAATGAAAGACATTTTTTCAGCCATGCTTCAACAGAATAAAAATTAATAAAACTCATGAAACAAGCTTGGACAGAAATGATTGTACCCTTAATTTTGCACAACATTTTGAGTCAATCCCTGCAGTCAAACGGTTCCTGTAACTGTCACTGAGATGTCTGCAGMTCTCAGCTGGTATTTTGGTCCACTGTTCATCAGCAAACTGCTGCAGTTGTCTCAGGTTTGATGTTTCAGCTCCKTCCAAAGATGCTCAGTAGGATTTAGGTAAGGATCGTAGAAGGAATTGTCCAGTGTTTTCYTCTGAGCCGTTCTTGGGTGWTTTTAKCTGTTTTGGGTCAGTTGCAAGACCAATGACCTGCTGAGACCAAGCTKTCTGACACTGGGCAGCACATTTCTCTCTAGAATCCTTGATAGTCTTGAGATTTCATTGTACCCTGCACAGATTCAAGACCCCCTGCAGATGCAGCAAAGCAGCCACAGACTATAACAGACCTCCTCCATGTTTCACAGTAGCGACAGTGTTCTTTTCTTCATATGATTCTTTWTTTTTTCTTGTTTCYGCTCTCGGAGCAGTTAGATGCTTCCTCCTTCTCTCCTRCCCTTTCTTATCTTTCCCTGCTTTGCTGCTTGGAGSCTTCTCTACATTTTTCRTCCGAAATAAGAAATTATGGATATTTTTATTTTTATGGATTTGGTTAGCTGGTCTCTAAATAAAATTCTTGGAACAAAGTTTTTTCTTCTTCCATGGGAGGACATGTCAAAGGTGGGACCTCTGTYCTTTGTTCTGGATTTATGTCTGGACTTCGATCACTGGATTCTACAGATTGGCTGGGTGGTCTCCTGGTGTTCTACAAATCAGCGTYGGTGGCTGTTCATCTCCTGGCTGACTGACCAATTCGATTGGTGGCCGTATTCTATCAGAACTCAGACATTTTGCCTTGAGCGAGCTGGACTCGGTTTGCAAGCGGTTCTATTGAGGGTCGCGGGCCGGCTGTGGTCCCTGAACTTTGCTGGCCAGATGGAATTGATCTGAGAGGAATCTGATAGATTCGGCTCGGCRGAATTTGTCCACACTATTTTGCCTGATTGGATTCGCCACCTTGAGATGCACCATCAGGACACTAAAGCAGATGGAAATTTGTTGTCGTCTGCCTGACCCTTCTGTTCCCAAAACAACTGATTACAGAATCTGGATCTCCCTGACAACGGCCTTGGATCTGTTGACTAAATTCTTCCTGGCTGGATGTGTCGACAAAGGCTCTGCCCCTAACCTTCCCCCTCCTCTCGCCCGTCTAATCTGCTCTTCCAGAGAAGGCTGAAAGCTGCACAGAAATGAACAGTTTCCATCAATATTCTGAACTATGGCTGTGCATGGTTTAGGGGACTGGATTCTTCGGGCCCCCTTAATCTCACTTACTTCTCTGGCTAATAAACTTGCTCTATGCAGAGGTTTTTACATAAACACCATAGTGTGTCACAGTGTTGATATAATATGATGTTTTTGTTTTTTTCTCATCTTCCCTTTCCTTGTGTTTTTCAGTTTTTCTTTGTTTCTAAGTTGGTGCCATGGCAGGCAGCCTGTTACTGCAACTCCACTGTTTTGAGCTGCTGTAATGTTCAAATTTCCCCACTGTGGGATCAATAAAGTTCTATCTTATCTTATCTTATCTTATCTTATCCCTCTGTGAACATAGATGTGCCTTGCCAAAAGGTTCGATTTTTGTCTCATCTATCCAGAGGAATTCTCCTAGAAGCTTTGAGGCTCATCAACATGTAGTTTGGCTTTTTTATGATTTGGTGTCCTCCTTGGTCGTCTCCCATTACGTCCCCTCTGGCTCAAACGATGGATGGTGTGATCTGACACTGATCCTTGAGCTTGAAATTCACCTTTAATCTCTGTAAAAGTTTTTCTGGGCTCTTTTGTTAACATTCGTTTTCGTTTCTTTGATTCATCATCAATTTTCCTCYTGCGGTCATGTCCAGGGAGGTTGGCTACAGTCCCATGGATCTTAAATTTCTGAATAATACATGCAACTGTGGTCACAGGAACATCAAGCTGCTTGGAGATGGTCTTATAACCTTTACCTTTAACATGATTGTCTATAAATTTCTTTCTAATCTCCTGAGACAATGTAATGTAAGTCTTTCTGCATTAGATCTGTTGTTTAATGTGGGGTCTTTGGTTTCCGTCGTGTAGGTAGTGAAGATCAATGTGTGCTACTGGAAGGAGAAGGTTCCTGGGATGTATCATGTCAAGAAGCGCTTCCCCTGCTTTATACAGACGGAAAGTGAGGAAACCAAAGAACACATCTACGGACTCCCGTCCAACGAGTACCCAGGCATGGTGAAGGTATGTGAGAGGTCATGATATACATGCTGCTTCTATTTGGTTGTAGTCTACAACATTTAAATCTAACCACAGATTTTACAAGCTACAGACAGACTCTGGGTGCATTACATTTATATTTAATAACAAAAAAATGCTGCATTGTCTTCCAGAGGCTTTGAGGTTAAAGAGGGAGAGAAGGATCTTTTACTGTAGGAAGAATATTTACTTGTATCTCTTGGTAAAACACTGACCCTGAGTAGGAAAGTGAGACCAGTGACTGAGCTGTTCTCACCACAGCATGCATGGTCTTTTTGTCACACCAGKGTCTTCTTTTTGAACGGTAGCTTTCTGCTAAGCTATCTGAGAGGTATGTTCATGAAGGGACCTGGTCTCAGTGAAGACAGATCCCATCATGAAGCTATCTTTGTGACCTGTCCATGATTGGACCTGGTYTCAGTGAGGACTGATCCAATCATGAAACTATCTGAGAGACTGTCCATGAAGGGACAGCACCTTCTCAGCGAGGACATGTCCCGTCATAAGGATGGGAACATAATGAAGGGGTGCAGCTGTCTGTCTGAGCACTTCTTCCTTTAAATGACATGAACGTAAAAAGTTAAAAGAACCTGGGGACCAAATGTAATTTAAAACTGCAGCAGTGATAAAGGACAGTGGGATGATCTGTGTTCTGTGTATGTCCAGCCAAAGCAGTTGCCGGTCTGTTGGGCACAGCCAAGTACAACGGTACAAAAAGGCCAGTTATGCACAAACCAGGACACATCCAAATTCACTAAGCTGCCCCAGCCATGCCCTTTGTCAGCTGCGAATCATGAATACCTTCTCACTTTCTCTGTGTCTAAATGTCACACTGTGGCAGACACTTACAGTAATATTTCACACCAGAATGTAGGCTCTTATTGTGAAGGTGGAGAACAGAAAGAGAGTTGGATATACACCGTGAATAAAGTGAGATTCCACCAGCAGGTTGCTGGTTCGATCCCCCGTCCAGCTGTCTCAGTTGTTGTCCTTGGTGGAAGTATGCCTCCACATATACAGAGTCTCTTTTTACCTGACTTCCACAACACAACAATTCTGAACCTGCAAGGATAAAAGGTGTGAGTGGGAAATTTTTTTTCAAACACTAATGGTTATTTTAGTTCTGCCACTAGGTGACGCAATGGGAAAATTAAGACATTAACATATGACCATGTTCAGGACTTGTATTATGCACATTTTTTTTTATACAATTAAAAGTGATGTTACCACCAAAGCTATGTTTTAATGTGAAAATGGGCAGACTAAAAAAGAATCCCACACTGATCAGATTAACCAACAACCACTGATTAATTTTATGAACTAGTTTGTGAAGAAGCTGTGCCCCAAATTTGAAGTCAATACACTCCAGATTTTTATAGGTTTTATAATATAACATCTTATTTGGTGGACATGAACAGATGCATAGTTGCATCAAATTTTATAGGTGTACATTAAAGTAGTAAGGTGAGCTGCAGTCAAGATGGTGCTAAAGAGCTAATTTTCAACAAATTCAATTCAATTCAGTTTATTTATATAGCACCAAGTCACAACATACGTTGTTCTAGGGCACTGTACATGAAAAGAATAATCTAAAGAAGAAAGCAGCAGATTGTGTTGAATCACTTCATCACAGTCTCCCATCCTGAGCAAACGGTGGAGAGGAAAAACTCCCTGCTANGAGAAGAGAGACCAGCACATCTGGATCTTTGAGCCTGCCTATATTTACACAAGATCTAAATATGTGCCAAGTTTTGAGAAGCTCAGCCCTACAACATTGTTAAATTTGCAGTTATGAACTTTTGGGGACATGTTAAAGATCACCAAGCTGCCCTGACAATGGTCTTTGGCCGCTGATAGTGATGGATATTTCCTTGGTTTTTAAAAGAGTATATTTTACAGTGCAATTTTGAAGCTGCTAGGGTGAAAGGTTTGAGTGGRAGATTTTTTTCAAACGCAATTGTAGGGTTAACCTACGTACTTAGTGATTTATTTGATTCTGTAAAAAAATAAATGATCTTGTTTATTTTAGATCGACTTAAATTCACTGAGTACGTTCCTCTTATTGTGTTTTTGTCCATTCATTTTTGTATGAAGATATTACCGAAAATAAAGKGATCCATGCGAAAATAAATTCCTTATAACATTGTTATAAGAAGTGTGGGGGTGAATCCTACACTGTAGTCACATCACAACATTCGAATATGGCCATATTTAGGACTGGATGCCTATCACCATGTATAATTTTACACAGTTTGGACAATTTACAGTGACTTCAAGTAGAAAAGACATAATCAAAAAAAAGTCCACGTCCACATCATTCAAACCAACCAACTTTTTTTATAACTTTTGTGCATCATATTGTCAAGAAGCTTTGGTCGAAATTTGGAGTCAATATGTTCAAATTTGAAGATGAAATAAGTATTTGGCGTGACATGMTAATCAACAAAATTAGTCATTCATTCAAAATGGACAACTTTGTTAATATGGTGCCAAGAGACTTTCTTGTCAGTACTGGAGTGTTGTACCTGTGGAAATTTCACGTGTGTATGTTTAAGTCATAAGAGAGGCTGATGTTTAAAGGGTATTAGAGAGCCAATTTGCCACGCCCACATCTGGAACTTTGCACCTCCCCATATTTATGCTAGTTCTATGTAACTGCCAAGTTTTATAATGCTCAGCCCACTGGAACGTGGTGAAAAAACTCTGGTTGGTAGAAAAACAAACTAATAATAGTAACAGTCAGGTCGCTGTTTCACGGCACACCTGTCCAAATAAAAACACTTCAGATGTCATTTTGGTTTGAAAACTCGACGTTGTATAAAAGGCTGGATTGTTGGAATGTGTTGCAGCACAACCAGTTTTCTACATGACCAACATCACGTGTTCTCTGGTTGCAGATATGTTACCATACAGGGAGCAGGACGGAACCAGATCGGAGAGACCAGCAGACAGACCGCTCTGATATTCAGATCCTCCAGCGCTACATCGCTCGATGTTTCCCTGGTCTGATCCCTGAACCTGCTGTGGTGGAGAGCTGCATGTACACGGTACGAGCCGGTCCGGACTGTACCAGGGAGGGGACAGGACCAAACAGAGGGCTTCTGTGGTTTCAGAGCTGCTTTGTGTGCAGATGTGTGTAGCTTTGGAAAAAAAACTCACAGCAAGGTGGCTCCAGAAGTTGGTTTGAGTTCAGGGGCGGCTTGGCAGTTCGGAGCAGCTCAAAACAAAAGTTGTAACTCCAATCAGGAGGGATATTTCCTTGTAATTTCGAAAAGAAAAATTGCTGCGACGAAGAGAAAGAAGCTGGAAACTCYGTTTTTCCAGCACAGAAAAGCAAGAAAGCTGGAGACCCTCACGGCATCTTGACCCAGCAAAGCAAAACAACAGACTGACTCCAACGGAGCAAAGAAGTTTTTAGAGTTTTAGACTGCGAACAGCGAGGCACTGTTCTCAGGACAGAGGAGATAAGAATATGTGTAACCGGCGGGGGCCTGCGTGCTCGTCGCTGCGGGCCWTTGTGGGGCTGCTGCGTGTGGTCACTGGTGGGGTTCTCCCGGGTCTCCCCTATGGTTTRACCTGGGGGTGGGTGTACAGCTCTCTTCACGTAGGTGTACCTGGGGGCCTGGTGCTTGAGGTTCCTCCTGGGGTCTTTGGCTCTGGCCTCCCCTTATGTCTGCCTCGTGCCTTGGGGGTCGGCTCTGAGACTCCCCCACAGTCACTATTATACATTCCGTTGGAGAAATCCTGTAAATTTATGCTTGCTCACAACCGCACGCAGACAGGTGTTCAGATCCGAGGGGTTCTGAATGATCACCAGGTATATATAGGTGGGTGTTTGTTTATCTGTCTAAATGTATGTATGTATGCTTTTGCTATGTTTTGTTACCTTAATTCTTTGCAGGTGTGCAGACAGATGTTGGATGGATTGTATTGTTTTCTTGACGTATATCTCACGTATCATCAATTCTTTTTCACTTTTTTCCATTACATTATAACTATTCTTTCCTTCTTTTTTCCTTTCTTTCATCTTCTTTCTTGTCTATCTAAAAAAACACTGATGATGAAGAAGCTAAGATACAAATATTCAGATATTTAGTACTGCTTTCTACTGAAGTGGTAAAAAAAGAATGTGTCTGCAGGTGTCGTGGTTTCTCCTGAGAATGTGTGTGTGTGTGTTGTCTTTGAGTGGAAGACCCAACTATCCAAACATCAGAACGTAACACACAATAATTAAAGAGCAGAAGTAACTAAACTCTTAAAAACAGCATATTAATATTCTAACTAAGTAATGGTTACCATTATGAACATTGACTAAATAGACTATTAAGAATGATTGAGTAATGCTTATCAAAGAAAGGATAAAAATATAAGTTTTAACTACAACACATANAACACATACTCTGTTATCATTAACTCATAAAAGTCTAAGCATAATCAGAGACAACAAATGCAGAATTATTATAAGTTAAATTAGAGAGCCCTTAAAATTAAAGACAAAAAATCAAACATCTTAAACTGATGAAACATTGGAATTATATTGAGAAAATGACAACATAAGGTTTGTTTTATTTCATTTTTGTTTTTATCAACAAACAAAAAATCTCCATGGGAGCAGGAACCATGTTGGTTTTCAAGAGGAAAGGAAAGGCAAGCTTTTCTTTCAATTAAAGCTCTCAGCAGAGCTGAAAATATTAAGTCTGGGAAGAGGAGAGATTTGACCCCAGGTGGTCAAAGGTCAACCAGTGGTGAGGTGAGGTGAGGTGAGGTGAGGTGAGGTGAGGTGAGGTGAGGTGAGGGGTTTCCCTACATGTGTACTACACCAAAAGGAAAATTGAAATTACAAAATGTTTCCAATTGTTCTTTTTGTCACACTTGTGTTTCTGTGATCATCAAACAAATGTTAATATGAGATCAAAATAACCCGAGTAAATATGATGATTTAATTTATTAAAAGAAACAAACCTCTTCAGCCTGACCCTCTGAGAAAAGAACCTGGTTGTGTTCTTGTCAGTCAGGTGACAACAGGTTTTCCTCTGGAGGAAAGTTGATCATCAGAACCAACCTATGGGTCCACATTGTCCCTCAACATGTTCCATCAGTGAGTTCTGAAGCAGCCCCAGACCATCACACTACCAACCCCATGTCTGATTGTGGGGTTGATTTTCTGAAACTCAGTGTTKGTTTCACAGCAGGTGGATCAGGACTCACCTGTTTTCTATCAGATTACAGAGGTTCTCAGGATTATTAAGATGTTTTCTGTAAATGTGAGTCATTTTTTATTCTTTATGCTCAGCTGTGGTTTTTGCCTCTGAGCTCTCCCATGGTGCCATTTTTCATCTTTTGAATTTCATTTCATTAAATGTGGTGGACTGGTAACTCGTGGGGACATTCACTGATGTTTCTGTTTGAATGGTTTCTACATTCTGCAGGTCTGGTGGTCATCAGGTCTGGTGGTCATCAGGTCTGGTAACAATCAGGTCTTGTGGTCATCAGGTCTGGTGGTCATCAGGTCTGGTGGTCATCAGGTCTGGTAACAATCAGGTCTGGTGTTATCAGGTCTGGTGTCATCAGGTCTGGTGACATCAGGTGTGGTGGTCAGGTCTGGTCCCATCAGGTCTGGTTGTCATCAGGTCTGGTGGTCATCAGGTCTGGTAACAATCGGGTCTGGTGCCATCAGGTCTGGTGGTCATCAGGTTTGGTGTCATCAGGTCTGGTGATCATCAGGTTTGGTGCCATCAGGTCTGGTAACAATCAGGTCTGATGGTCATCAGGTCTAGTGGTCATCAGTGTTCTAGTGTTCATCAGGTCTAGTGTTCATCAGGTCTGGTGGTCATCAGGTCTGGTGACAATCAGGTCTATTGGTCATCAGGTCTGGTAACAATCAGGTCTGGTGGTCATCAGATCTGGTGCCATCAGGCCTGGTGGTCATCAGGTCTGGTAACATTCAGGTCTGGTGCCCATCAGGTCTAGTAACAATCAGGTCTGGTGTCATCAGGTCTGGTGGTCATAAGGTCTGATGGTCATCAGGTCTGGTGGTCATCAGGTCTGGTAACAATCAGGTCTGGTGCCATCAGGTCTGGTGGTAATCAGGTTTGGTGTCATCAGGTCTGGTGATCATCAGGTTTGGTACAATCAGGTCTGGTGGTCATCAGGTCTAGTGGTCATCAGTGTTCTAGAGTTCATCAGGTCTGGTGGTCATCAGGTCTGGTGACAATCAGGTCTATTGGTCATCAGGTCTGGTAACAATCAGGTCTGGTGGTCATCAGATCTGGTGCCATCAGGCCTGGTGGTCATCAGGTCTGGTAACATTCAGGTCTGGTGTCATCAGGTCTGGTGTCATCAGGTCTGGTGACATTAGGTGTGGTGGTCATCAGGTCTGGTCCTATCAGGTCTGGTGGTCATCAGGTCTGGTAACAATCAGGTCTGTTGACATCAGGTGTGGTGGTCATCAGGTCTAGTCCCATCAGGTCTGGTACATCAGGTGTGGTGTTCATCAGGTCTGGTCCCATCAGGTCTGGTGGTCATCAGGTCTGGTAACAATCAGGTCTGGTGGTCATCAGGTCTGGTGGTCATCAGGTCTGGTAACAATCGGTTTGCTGCCATCAGGTCTGGTGGTCATCAGGTTTGGTGTTATCAGGTCTGGTGATCATCATGTTTGGTGCCATCAGGTCTGGTAGCAATCAGGTTTGGTGGTCATTAGGTCTAGTGGTCATCAGTGTTCTAGTGTTCATCAGGTCTGGTAACAATCGGGTCTGGTGCCCATCAGGTCTAGTAACAATCAGGTCTGGTGGTCACAAGGTCTGATGGTCATCAGGTCTGGTGACATCAGGTCTGATGGTCATCAGGTCTGGTGACATCAGGTCTGGTGGTCAAAGACCAACAGTTCTGTAGAACTCTTACTTTTCAAACCCACATTGATATTCTATCAGTTGTCAGGTCTTGATCTTGGTTTGTACCATTCTATTTAATGTTAATTAGAATTATTTGCTTGTTTTGCAGCTAACTCCTGACCAGGATTTTGTTCTGGACTGTCATCCAACCTATAACAACATTATCATCGGGGCTGGATTCTCAGGTACATCACAATGCAGAACACCGAAACCTGATCAGTTTGGAGAAAATCTGCACAAAGATCCACTGTACCTTTTATTTATTATCATCACTTCTTCACTCGTTAACAGTAATAATTCATTCATTTAATTCATCTGGATGTGGACATCAGGTTCTGACTCATTAAACTCAGGTCAAGGAGCAGTGTGGACTTAGTCCTGGTTGTGGATCAGAGGACAAGATCTTCACAATGACTGGGATGTAATGGGACCAGGAGAAGGCTCATGACCGTGTTCTCTGAAGTGGTCTGTGGGGATGCTGCAGGAGTTATTGGGGTATCAGGAGGGGTTTGACTATTCAGTCTCTGTAGAACCAAAGCAGCAGCTGCGTCCACATCTCAGACACACACATGTTCATTTCAATTTTAACTATGTAGGAATTACTCCATGAAGATTAGGACCAGCCTAAAGTTCATAAAATAATCCAGCCAGATCTTGCAGAAGGAAATC